TCCCTCCCCACTCCTGGGGGGAAGGATACTGCAAAATCCCCATTCCCACCCCACTCTGAGGCCAGCCAGAGGTGGCATTTGCCGTTTCTCCGAACTACTCAAAATTTCCGCTACCGGTTCTCCAGAACCTGTTAGAACCTGCTGGATTTCACCCCTGGTGGGGGCTCCCCCCATACCCCGTTTTGGGCCTGGAAAGCCTCCTGCACCAACTTGGAAACCAAAACAGGTACACGGAGGTGGGGGCGCATGCACGGGTGAGGTTGGGGGTGCTCACATTGCATTTTGGGGGTTCTGGCACGTGCATTCCATCACTGCTTTTGAAATGAAAAATTTGCAATCTTTTTTTTTTCCCCTTTGGGCGAGGTTTCTGAGCTGCTTCCAAAATTCACATTTTTTTTTTCCTTTGGCATGAAAGCAAGCCATGGTTCCAGTTGGCAGCTGTAATCTTGGTTTTAAAACCGGCTCGGTTGCAAATTCAACCAGAGGCATTCTCTTGTCGTTCGGTTTAGAATTTGGTTAGAAGGCTAAGCTGGGGAAATTCTTTGGAGTTGAAGTCTACCTTTTCTTCTCCAAGCTGCCAAGGTTAAAGGAACACTGGTTGAAACCCAAATTGTGCAAAAACAGCATTCGTGTGTCTGTGTCAGCGGTGGGTTTCAAAATTTTTTTACTACCGGTTCTGTGTGTGTGGCTTGGTGGGCGTGGCATGGCTTAGTGGGCGTGGCAGGGGAAGGATACTGTAAAATCTCCATTCCCACCCCACTCCAGGGGAAGGATACTGCAAAATCCCCATTTCCTCCCTATCAGCTGGGACTCGGGAGGCAGAGAATAGATGTGGGCAAGGCTAGTCAGAATTTTTACTACGGGTTCTCCGAACGACTCAAAATTTCCGCTACCGGTTCGCCAGAACTGGTCAGAACCTGCTGAAACTCACCTCTAGTCTCTGTGTGTGTGTGTGAGAGAGAGAGAGACTTTCTCTCTTTCTCTCTCTCTGTATGTGAGTCCCTAGGTACGTTGCACCTTCAAGGAGAGTGTATGAAACCCAACTTTGTGCTTATGTGCTGACTTGCACCCAGGATCCGTCATAAACCCTCCGTGGTCCAACATCCCTGCTGGTTTTCCCGTCCCCACTTCGCATGCCTTTATTTATTGATTTTCCTAGAAAGCAAGTGATCTTTGTGGGGAATATTTTTCGTGGCGTGGATTGTTTTTTTTTTTTCTTCTCCCGGGCTGCTCCTCCAGCATCCCTCACCCGCGTGGGACTCCCCCGCCCGCCTTCCCCCCCTTCGGTTCCAAATTCCGATTCTGCCTTCTGTCGCTCTGGCGTTGCGTTCGGCTTTCCTCGGTGCATCGTTCCGACCTTTGTAAATATTCGGTGGGATATTTCGTCGTGGTGGTGCGAGACCTTTGAAATATATCCGTTTTATTAAAAAAAAAAAAAAAAAGAAGAGGATGATGATGGAATATTAATATAATGTTTGCTACTACCTGAACTGATCAAAAAGAAGTAAAGGAAAAACAAAAAAACAAAAAAAACCCGAAAACGAGCCACGTCTCTCTTATCGTTCATCGCATTCAGAGAAATGTTTTTTTTTAAAAAAAAATGTTGCTTTTGAAATGCAGTTGTGAGAAAAAAAGCCAGCAAAGCGGAAGGAGAAAAGAAGAGTGGGGATCATGGTCTATTCCTTTTTTTTATATATATATATATAAAGTTTTTTATTATTTTTTAAAAAACAAACGAACATTTAAAACATCAATCAGCCCTCCCCTGCGACATCTCGGTGTTGGAATTCTTCAGTTCATTTTATTCTTCTTGTTCCAACCGTTTCTTCTGTCATGGAATAGATCATGGTCTATTCCTGTTGGTGCCCCATCCTTTTAGGGGAGAACTCATTTTAGAAATGGTTTTTGAGGATTTCTTGTAGGTTAGGGCCATTAAAAAAAAACCAACAAAAGTCAAAATACAGTTGTGAGAAAAAAAACCAGCAAAGCGGAAGGAGAAAAGAGTGGTGGGGAATCATGGTCTATTCCTGTTGGTGCCCCATCCTTTTAGGGAATAGAACTGTCATTCATTTAAAAACTTTCAGGATGAGGAGCTTGGGGTTTACAGGCAGCCCCTGACTTACGACCGGTTGCTTAGCGACCATTCAAACTTCTGATGGGGGGGGGACTTACAACCTGGATTTGAAATTCTGACAGTTGCTCCCACCCCACCCCCATCCCCGCGGTCATATGACCACATTTTACAACAGTTTTTCCTTTACTTCTGGCTTTCTGCACCCATATTGGTGCCTCGGTTTTGCTTAACGCATTCACTTTACGACCATTACGTTTGCTTAATGACCACTTGAAAAAAAGGTTGTAAAGTTGACTTATGCGACAGGCAGGCCCCATTAGGGTCGTAACCTGAGGACCACCTATGTTGCATTTGGTTCTGAGACTGTCAGATCCCACCAATAGCACTAGCAATAGCCCTTAGACTTATATACCGCTTTACAGTGCTTTTACAGCCCTCTCTAAGCGGTTTACAGAGTCAGTCTCTTGCCCCCAACAATCTGGGTCCTCATTTCACCCACCTTGGAAGGATGGAAGGCTGAGTGAACCTTGAGCCGGTCAGGATTGAACTCCTGGCTGTGGGGCAGAGTTAGCCTGCAATACTGCATTCTAACCACTGTGCACCATAGAGGGAGGGAGGGAGGGAGGGAGGGAGGGAGGGAGGAAGGAAGGAAGGAAGGAAGGAAGGAAGGAAGGAAGGAAGGAAGGAAGGGCAATAACAATGGAAATAGCACTTAGACTTATATATATGGTGTAGGGTTTCCTGCCTAAGAAGGGGGTTGGACTAGAAGACCTCTAAGGTCCCTTCCAACTCTGTTATTCTATTCTGTATACCACTTCACAGTGCTTTCCAGCCCTCTCTAAGCGGTTTACAGAGTCAGCCTCTTGTCCCCAACAATCTGGGCCCTCATTTTACCCACCTCGGAAGGATGGAAGGCTGAGCCAACCTTGAGCCAGTCAGGATCGAACTCCTGGCAGTGGGCAGAGTCAGCCTGAAATACTGCATTCTAACCACTGCGCACCATGGAGAGAGGGAGGGAGGGAGGGAAGGAAGGAAGGAAGCAAGGAAGGAAAAGAGAGAAAGGAGAAGAAGCAAGAGGGCTGGAGGGAGAAAGAAGGGAGGGAGGGAAGGAAGGAAGGAGGGAGGGAGGGAAGGAAGGACAATAGCACTTAAGACTTATACACCGCTTCGCAGCGCTTTCCAGCCCTCTCTAAGCAGTTTACAGAGTCAGCATCTTGCCCCCCCCCCAACATCTGGGTCTTTATATTACCGACCTCGGAAGGATGGAAGGCTGAGTCAACCTTGAGCCGATGGTGAGAATCGAACTCCTGGAGTGAGCAGGTGCGTTAGTCTGCAGTACTGAATTCTAGCCACTGCGCCACCGCAACTCGTACAGTTGCCAGTGGATCGTTTTCGTGGCATGTTTTATTTTTTGCTCTTCCTCCGGGGCAGATTCTAATCTGGGTCTGTCGGCTCCTGGGGTGGCTGACGGAGGAAGCGTTGTGGCCAGAACATTTCCCCCATCTGATGGCAACACATTGTGAAGTTGTCCTTTTTCTTGGCTTGAGGTTGGTCAACACATTTTCACAAGGGCCGGGGGTGCCTCTACAATTTATTTAACAGGAGAGAATAACAGAAAAATTGGAAGGGACCTCGGAGGTCTTCTAGTCCAACCCCCTGCTCAAGCATCCTGTACCATTCCCAACAAATGGTTGTCCCAACTTTTTCTTGGAAGACCTCCAGTGATGGAGCCCCCAACAACGTCTGGAGGCAACTTCTGTTCTACTGATTAATTGTTCTCACTGTCCGGAAATTTCTCTTTATTTATTCGTTGGGTTAGTAGCTGGTTTCCACACATCCTGTATTTCAGGAGCTCAAGGGGGTTTCCTCCTCCTATTTTTTTCCACCCGATGAGGAGGGAAGTGGAAGGGGGGCAGTGGTGGGTTTCAATTTTTTTTACTACAGGTTCTGTGGGCGTGGCTTGATGGGCGTGGCATGGCTTGGTGGGCGTGGCAGGGGAAAGATACTGTAAAATCTCCATTCCCCTCCCCAATCCAGGGGAAGGATACTGTAAAATCTCCATTCCCTCCCCAATTCAGGGAAGGACACTGTAAAATCTCCATCCCTCCCCAATTCAGGGGAAGGATACTGTAAAATCTCCATTCCCACCCCAATCCAGGGGAAGGATACTGTAAAATCTCCATTCCCTCCCCAATTCAGGGAAGGATACTGTAAAATCTCCATTCCCACCCCACTCCAGGCTAGGAGGGTGGGGAGAGGGGAAACGGAGCCATGCGAGCCACAGGCTAGCGCACGCATGCACATGTAGCTCTTGCGTGACTGGCAAATGTCTGCCCCTCGTGCAAGTTGAGCTGCGTTAACGTAGGCACGCTCTATGCCCAGCCACTCACATGACCCAATTCCAAATAGGCCACGGCCTGATAGTGGGCTGACCTCTGCTTTATGCTCAAGGGAGGGTCCAGAACATGGGTGTCAGGTTTCGAGGTCGTCTCAAATAAATTGCATTTCAAACAAAGTCTTTGAAGAAAAACTCCCATTTATTAAGCACGACATTCTAACTCCGACTCCATCCAGCCAACACTGACTTCCAGACCCAAAACCCTCCCTTTCCGTTCCCCACTCCCCTGCACTCATTGGCCATCTTCCAAGTCACTCTACCCCTAATCTACTGCTCCAGCTCAAAGGAATTTCCCCCCTCCCATCCCATCTCCTAGGGGATATTATCTCCAGGGAAAATAAGTAGGTGAAAAGTCAAAACGTCCCTTTCCAGACGCCTCCGCCTCTCCTTCTTATGTCAGCATTAGAGGAAATGCAGCTTGAAGTGCTGACATTGGGTGGGCTTCAAAAATTTTTAGCAAGGGCTTCTCTGCCTGGTTGCTGGGTGGGCATGGCCATGGTGGGTGTGGCCTAGACAGCCTCCTGCACCAGGGTGGGGGGAGGGCTTTTTGCCCTCCCCGGGCTCTGGAGGCTTTTCTCGAGCCTCCGGGAGGGTGAAAACGGCCTCCCCAGGCTCCAGAGGCCCCTTCCCAAACTTCCAGTAGGCCCGTTTTTCGCCCTCCCCGAGCCTCCACATGCGCCCTGCACATTCCTGCATCCAAAATGGGCCGCGTGGGGACTCCTGGGAGGGGTGGGGTGGGGGAGGGGGCGGGGCCAGCCAGGAGTGGGATTTGGGGATTTTCCGAACTGCACAGAATCTTAGCTAGAGGTTCTCCCGAACCCCTGCGAACTCCCAGCAGTCCACCCCTGGTCCAGAATCTTGCGTCTCCCCCTTCCTAATCCAGAATCTTCAGCCGTTCTTTGGGGCTGAGACAGAGGGACTGGCTCAAAGCATCGGAGGGAACCAACCTTTGGATCTAATGACGGACTTGAACCTTACTCTTCATCCAATACTTTCACCACTAAACCACACTGCCTGTTTTTATTTAACTCCTATTGAAACAATTACTAACCCAAACACTCTTATTAGGTTTATTAATGATTGCTCAAAATCAGATTTTGAATTTTTCACTCTTCCCTTCTGCCCAATCTAGGTACCTATTGCTCTGGTACATTCTACCCCATCAATCTTTGAGTCTTTTGGTTATCTGCAAGATAAAATGATGAACCTCTGGTTACCCTATGAAGTATCATTTTAGACTGACCTTTTGAGCTTCCTGGATTTGTTACTAGGGTTTGCCCATTGTACTAAACCGCAATTTAAAGATGGTTGGGCCAATCACCAAACTGGACTGGAATCACACACCGTAAACATGGTTTGCAAGCTACAATAGCTGGGTATAGATGGGCGTGATGGCTTAATAAGCCATGTTGGAGATAGTCTGCGAGCAAAGACATCTATGTTGTGAGAATCCTAGGGGTTCATGGACACAGGATTAAACCCTAGGATTCTTAAATTTCCACCTGAGATACAATATTTGCAGAATTGGCATTAGTAAGCCCATGAGAATGATAGAACTATAACCACATTTTCCTAACCATAATAACCCATTAAACCTGGTTAGTTTGAATCCAGTTAGCACCTTTTGGGGATGCTTCATCCTATGCAACTCATCGGATTGCTCTATGGGTCAATGTCCTGCACACACTTAGGTAGGTAAAGGTAAAGGTAAAGGTTCCCCTCGCACATATGTGCTAGTCGTTCCCGACTCTAGGGGGCAGGTGCTCATCTCCGTTTCAAAGCCGAAGAGCCAGCGCTGTCCGAAGACGTCTCCGTGGTCATGTGGCCGGCATGACTCAACGCCAAAGGTGCACGGAACGCTGTTCCCTTCCCACCAAAGGTGGTCCCTATTTTCCTACTTGCATTTTTTACCTGCTTTCGAACTGCTAGGTTGGCAGATGCTGGGACAAGGAACGGGAGCTCACCCCGTTAGGCGGCACCAGGGATTCGAACCGCCGAACTGCCGACTTTTCGATCGACAAGCTCAGCGTCTTAGCCACTGAGCCACTGCGTCCAATTGATTCAATCATGAAGTGACTAACCGGGAAGTTAACACAATTCCTGAACTCCCCTCCATAGGCTTTGTTACAACTCCAACTTGGCTTGCATTCAAAACTTTTTGAAACAGGATGTTCAAGAGATGTCAGCTTGAAAAGAAAAAAAAAGGCCCCGTCAGAGGGTAAACCTCCAGGGATTTCCAGAGAATGACTAAGGAGAACAAGCGTTCCCCTTATCTTTCTGGAACACGCATGGAGGTTTATCAACTCAACTTCTGCTGCTGTTTGCTCTACCAGCCAGTTGTCCTTCACGTCTCATTCCAGAGGGACGCGACGTACAGAGAGGTAAGTCCTCAATTTATAAGTCCTTATAAGTGGTTTTCTTTCACTTATACAGCAATTTTGGCCACCGGGTCAAATGAGTGGTCTACCTTGACCATTTGAGGAGATCATCTGGAGATCTTCAGCCTGTTAGATAGACAAGTATTTTTCCGACTCTGTGTGTCTTTCATTTAAGAGATGCCCAGTACTTGAACGTTGCATCTTTCCGTGGTAGGCTTTGATCAAGCCATTAATGTACATTGCTCATATAGAACATAGAATAACAAGAGTTGGACCTTGGAGGTCTTCTAGTCCAACTTGAGCAGGAGACCCTATATACCACTTCAGACAAGGCTGTTGAGTCTCTTTTGAAAGACCTCCAGTGATTGAGAACCCACAATTTCTAGCGGCAAGTCGTTCCACTGATTAATTAACAGAATAACAGAGTTGGAAGGGACTTTGGAGGTCTTCTAGTCCAACCCCCTGATCATACAGGAAACCCTATACCATTTCAGACAAATGGTTGTCCAATTTCTTCTTGCAAATCTCCAGTGTTGGAACATCTAACAATTTATGGAGGGAACTCAGTCCCCTGGTTAATTGTTCTCACTGTCAGGAAATTCCTCCTTATTTTTAGGTTTCTTCTCTCCTTGGTTAGTTTCCATCCGTTGCTTCTTGTCCTGCCTTTCAAGTGCTTTGGAGAATAGCTTGACCTCCCTCTTCCCTGTGGCAGCCCCTCAAATATTGGAAGCCTGCTCTCATGTCACCCCTAGTCCTTCTCTTTGTTGGATTGTGTTTGTTAGACATTGTTAGACTATGATCTAGCAACTCTAACCTAAACCAATTGTCTCATCTAACTCAACTCAAATTATCTTGAGGAAGAGCGTTTCGTTCAAACTTCAATTTTATACTTTACAAGAATTGTATTATTATTGGAGAAGTAATAGTATTATTAAGTCTCGATTTAATTAAGATCCATTGTCTGCGGTGGCCTCCAGTGATGGAGCATCCACAACTTCTGAAGGCAAGCCATTGTAGGCGCCCCAAGGATGGACAATCTTTTGATGTTCTATCTAACATTTTTTTTTTTACACCTGTTCTAGGATGCAGAAGATGGGAGAAAGTTTATAGTTCTGGAGTTTTTTTAAAACTATGTTTATCTCTAGTTAATGATTTCCGAATTGAAACTAATTGAAATTGAATTGAAACTACATTGAATTGAATTGATTTCTGTGCCTTTCAGAGTCGAAGATGAGTCTCGTCGGCTTCTTCTTCATCTTCGCCTTGCTCCCTCTTGTCGCCCCAGACTGTCCCCGCCCTTGCCGTTGTGCCGCCAACATCGTCGACTGCATGTCGACCGATCTCACGGACGACATGATCCCGCTCTCCTTCTCATCCTTGACGAACAAGCTTTATCTCAACAACAACTATTTGACCTTCATCCCCAAAGGTCTCTTCGACAACCTGCACAACCTCCAGGCTGTTTACCTGCGGGGCAATCCTTGGGAATGTACCTGCAACATCCTCTACCTCCGCTCCTGGCTACAATGGCAAGAGAACCGGACTCTGTATCGTGATGTGGTGTGTTCCACTCCTGCCCATCTTCAAGGTCGGATTATCACTTACCTGTCTGAAGATGAGATCATCTCTACCTGCCAGTCCTGGTATTGCGGTGTGGCTTTGGTGGCCCAGATCTGCCTCTTTGTCTTCATCCTGGTGCAGGCCATCTTGTTGTTTCTGGTGGTCTTCTACATTTGCAGATTCCAGCGGATAGCCAAGGAAGCCAGGAGGACAATGGTGGAGATTTATGAGAATACAGATCCATGGGAAAGTGCTCGTAAAAACAGTATTGACTGATGGTCCGTGGAGATTCTCAACCATCCAGGTCATGGTTGTCCCAAAGGTGTTTTTCCTTAATTTTTTTCCCCCCTTGTGAAGACCTTTTGCTTTTCATCCAAGAAGCTGTTGTGATCTAGGCTTCCTGAGTCATTAAAACACACGAGTAGTCCCAAAAACCTCTTTTATTGCAACAGCTGTGAATTACGTTCATTCACAGCTGAGTCCCAATTAGCTGTAAAAAGTCCTTTGGGAGAAGTCCTTCAGGATAATCACCAACCTTTATCTCCCTTGACACGCTGCCAAAGACCTACTTGGCAAAGCCACACAGAGTCCAGAATCAAACAGAGATGCCGACTGGGAACAGAATTAACAACATTGCTTCCCTGCAAAGAGCCCACGTGCTTTTGCTCCTCTTTTAAGCCTTATGGGAGGGGACAATCATCTCCAGGCTTTACTCCTGAGTTTTCCCTTTTGTTTTAACTGTTCTTGCCTTCTGGCAGCTCTGCGCATGCGTGCACTAGGAACAGGCCCCTCCTGTTCCTCTGCCTCTCTGATGTCCGACTCTGGAGGCTCCAGAGTCCGTGCATAACTCCCAGATGGCCCTGGCCTCATCTCTGCCTCCGACGCAGAGCCCTCGTCCGAGCCTTCCCCAGACTCCAGGACTGGCCCATGTTCCTCCCCAGCCTCCTCACTGTCCGACTCTGCTACCAGCTCCGCCGGCTGCTGGCGGACCACAACAGAAGCTTCTTCAGTTTCAGGAAGCTTCTTCTTCAACTGAAGAAGCTTCTGGGATGAGAAGCGAAAGGTCTTCAAGGAAACAAACTAAGAAAATCCAGCTGCCTTTTGAAAAAAGCACTTTTGGGGACAGTATCAACTGATCGTCACACAGGAATAGCTATTTTCCCAAATGCCTTATTTCCTTGGAGAACCTTGGGAGTTCTAGGCAGAATTTGGAAGATGCTTGCTTTTTTAAAAAAAAAAGAAGAAGAAGAAGAAGAAGAAGAAGAAGAAGAAGAAGAAGAAGAAAGAAGAAGAGAAGAAGAAGAAGAAGAAGAAGAAGAAGAAGAAGAAGAAGAAGAAGCAGCAGCTTCTACGCAGAACATTTGGGATGGATAAACATAATTGTGGAATGACAACATGGAAAAAAAGCTGCCATTTGCTGGATCCTCATTTGGTACTTAAACTCTGTAGAGTCTTCCTATAATTGGGGGAAAAATGGTTTGGGGCTGGTGATTGAGCCTGCCCCCCTCATGTCTGATGCCCCCTATATTATGTACAGATAGTCCTTGACTTACAACCATTCATTTAGTGGCCATTCGAAGTTACGACGACACTGAAAAAAAAGTAATTGACAACCAGTTTTCACAGTTACCCAATGGAACAGAAGTTGCCTTCGGAAGTTGTGGGAGCTTCATCCCTGGAAGGTTTCAAGAAGAGACTGGACTGCCATCTGTCTGAAACGGTGTAGGGTCTGCTTGGGCGGGGGGTTCGTCTAGATGACCTACAAAGGTCCCCTCCAACTCTGTTAATCTGTATCTGTATGTAATCAAACCATTTGGGCGTTTGGCACGTGGCCTCCAGTTAGGACAGCTGCAGCATCCCGGGGTCAAAATTTGAGACCTTCTCAGCCATCTTCTGGCAAGCAAAGTCAGTGGGGGAAGCCCTGTTCTCTTACTGACTGCATGATTCACTTAATAACTGTAGTAATTCATTTAACGACTGTCTTGCCTAAAGGCAGAAATTCTAGTCCCAATTGTAATTGTAAGTCAAGGACTGCCTGTATAATCCTTCCGTGTTTTTTTTTTTTACTCTGTTAAATGCCGCGTGGTAACTTGTTGCTTTTTAAAAAACTTCAACGTATTAATACGGTCCTTCTTCCCCTCCAATCTGGATTAGCTTCGGTTTATTAAACCTTAATTTTAATCTCAAGTTATTAAAATGCAGTTATTAAACCTCTCTCTGTCTCTCTATAAAAGTCTCTCTGTCTTTGTCTCTCTCACTCTCTGTCTCTGTCTCTCTCTGTGCCTCTGTCTCTGTCTCTCTGTGTGTCTCTTTCTCTGTCTGTGTCTCTCTCTGTGTGACTCTGTCTCTGTCTCTATCTCTCTCTGTCTCTCTGTCTCTCTCCCCTTTTTTCAATATATGCCAATTTGATTTTTTAAAAAAATCTTTTTAAAATCTCAGTTACTGAAAAGTATTTTCTTTGTCCCCAGAAGGGGGCACTCAAACCCCATTACACTTTCTTTTCCAAACTTTTTCATTTTTTTCATTTTATTAGCAAATTGTTGTCTTCCTTGCCAGGACAAATGCTAACTTCTTTCTCTCACTCTCTATCATAGCCGGAGAAAAAAAAGAGATTTTATTTCAGACACCACGGCTCTGTTATAGAACCTGCCGACATTGATTTTGTGCAAAAAAAACAGTCTGCAGAAAAGGTGGCATTTTCTTGATTGTTTCCCCCCCATCTTTCTCCAGATAATTTTTGTATTTTAGTAATACAAATAATGTATAAAAAAACAACAGTCTGCAGACAGGCGAGAAAAATTATAAAACGTCTCTAGTCCATTCATGAATACAATAGAACAACTATCCCAGGGCACAATATTATACTTTTTTCATTTAAGAAAATAAAATATATCCTGTATAGATATATATATATATGTAGGTCTTTGGTTATTCGGGTTTTCTCCCACGTAAAATTGGAGGTTTCTTGGCATATATATATATATATATATACATACATACATACATATATACATACATACATACATATATATATATATATATATAAAATATATCCTGTTATAATATATAGCCTGTAATATATCCATAGTAGAAATAAGGAACTCTCACTCCCTAGTACCTTTGACTCAGTGGTGAAATCCAATTTTTTTTTTACTACTGGTTCTGTGGGCGTGGCTTGGTGGGCGTGGTGCGGCTTGGTGGGCGTGGCTTGGTGGGAATGGCAGGGGAAGGATACTGCAAATTCTTCATTCCCACCCCACTCCAAGGGAAGGATACTGCAAAATCTCCATTCCCACCCCACTCCAGGGGAAGGATACTGCAAAATCTCCATTCCCTCCCCACTCCAGGGGAAGGATATTGCAAAATCTCCATTTCCACCCAGGGGAAGGATACTGCAAAATCTCCATTCCCTCCCCACTCCAGGGGGAGGATATGCAAAATATCCATTCCCTCCCCACTCCAGGGGGAGGATATGCAAAATCTCCATTCCCACCCCACTCCAGGGGAAGGATACTGCAAAATCCCCATTCCCACCCAACTCCAGGGGAAGGATATTTCAAAATCCCCATTCCCTCCCCACTCCAGGGCCAGCCAGAGGTGATATTTGCCATTTCTCCGAACTACTCAAAATTTCCGCTACCGGTTCTCCAGAACCTGTCAGAACCTGCTGGATTTTACCCCTGGTTGTGGGACAAAATTAAGCCAGAGTAATGGATGGAGAGAAACCAAATGATAAGTCTCAGCTACTCAGATAGGTTTCTCTTCGCCCCCCCCTTTTTTTTCCCCTTCTGGTGCCACTTTATGCTATGCTCTTGACTTTGATAAATAGGCTTCTGAATAAAACGTTAATCTAACTAGAGGTGGGGGTGGGGGTGGCTGGACCAGGCCTCTGCCCCCTCCCCACTTCTGTCCCGGCCTCCTGCTGACCTCGTTTCAGCACTAAGGGAGAAAACATAGCAATTTTGTGCGTCCCTACAGAAAGCTTGCTCGTTTTGATTAATGGGAGAAAGGTTCAGTTCTATTCTGGGGCATTTTTTTCCCCGACAGCAGAAAAATAAGCAGAGAGTCACCAATGTGACCCACAGAAGATGGGGAAATTGGAGAGGAGGGTGAAGGAACTAAATTTACAGGAGACCCACCCCTCCCACCCAAAGAGGTAAAATGTGTATATGCCAAGCTCATGTGCCCAAACAGCCAAAGGTTGTGTTGCAAATTTTCTTGAACTAGAACCTAGAAAATAGAACAGAGACCCTTGGAGGTCTTCTAGTCCAACCCCCTACTCACGCTGGTCATCCTGTTGTCAGGTTCCAACCAGTGGTGAAATCCAATATTTTTTTACTACTGGTTCTGTGGGCGTGGATTGGTGGGCGTGGCAGGGGAAGGCTACTGTAAAAATCTCCATTCCCTCCCCACTCCTGGGGGAAGGATACTGCAAAATCCCCATTCCCACCCCACTCCAGGGGAAGGATACTGCAAAATCCACATTCCCTCCCCACTCCTGGGGGAAGGATACTGCAAAATCCCCATTCCCACCCCACTCCAGGGGAAGGATACTGCAAAATCCCCATTCCCATCCCATTTCAGGGGAAGGATACTGCAAAATCCCCATTCCCTCCCCACTGCTGGGGGAAGGATACTGCAAAATCTCCATTCCCACCCCACTCCAGGGGAAGGATACTGCAAAATCCCCATTCCCTCCCCACTCCTGGGGGAAGGATACTGTAAAATCTCCATTCCCTCCCCAATCCAGGGGGAAGGATACTGCAAAATCTCCATTCCCACCCCACTCTGGGGCCAGCCAGAGGTGGTATTTGCTGGTTCTCCGAACTGCTCAAAATTTCCGCTACCGGTTCTCCAGAACCTGTCAGAACCTGCCGGATTTCACCCCTGCTCCAACTCCCTTAATGACAAGAGTGAGGACATGGTTGTCCCCACACACCTCACTGGTTCATAGCGAACCAGGGATCCCACAATGATCAGATAATTAAATCCCCTTCTGGGCATTTGTTCTCTTGTTGCTAAGTATCAATGAATAATTTCTAAATATTCCCATAATTCTCCCTCTTTAGGAGTCTGTCTCCAAATTGGGTCTGGAATGAACCCAATTGCAAATGTTGCTATACAGAAAGAAAAAGAAAGAAAAGAGAAAGAAAGAAAGAAAAAGAGAGGAAGAGGGAGGGAGGGAGGAAGGGAAGGAAGGAAAGAAGGAAGGAAGGAAGGAAGGAAGGAAGGAAGGAAGGAAGGAAGGAAGGAAGGAAGGAAGGAAGGAAGGACTCAAAGTCTACCCACAAATTTGCTGATCTACCTCGCTGAAACCTATCTTAGGAACGTCTGTGGAAAGCTACAAGAGAAATGCATCGAACGACCTTCCAACAGGAAATAACACGGGCACCTCAATCGCACCGGGCATTTCTGTCTTTCTTTAGTTCCAAGTTGAAACTCGGTTGAGTTGTTGAGTTTGTCAGCCCGAGCGAGCCACGGATGACATGCCTGGAGGACCTGCCTGTTGTGGGATTGACAACAGCTTTTGTTCCCCTGTGACGGATGACTCTTGGGCTGAAGACCTGGCCATTGTCTGCTCAGCTTGCGTCCTCCTCTTGGGCGATAGCCATCTCTTCATGGGCTATTCAGTCCTGTAGAAAAAGTGACTAGTTCTTTTTCTGAGTATACATCCAGTCTATTGTCTTGGCAGAGGAATTTTTGGGTGCTAGGTCAATCCGGTGACGGCCAGCCATTGTAGGAGGTCCAAGGAAATGTTGGCCTCTGTTTACCTGATGACTGCGGGGCCTTCTCTTCTTATCTGCCTAAGGAAGCAAGAAGCCACGTCTCTTTCTTTGTCAAATAATAGGCCCGCGCCGGCCTGTGTGGAAAACGTCCGTGTAATTACAATTCTACAGCTCTTCGGGCATTTATCTTGTACATCAACGATCCATCAGCGTCTACCAAACCTCACATTGTTTTCTGTAGTTAGCTAGGCAAACGCCGTGCACATTTGCAGGACATTCCAACTGTGTGTGCAAGAGGGAAAAGAAAAGAGACGGAGACAATACAAGTCTTTTTCTCCCCCACCCACAATGGTTCTTCTTCCTCTATTGCTTCTTTTCACCCATCCACTCCCTTTGTTACAAGCTGTTTTAGCTCTGGCTCTCTCAGCTTTGGGTTGAAACAAATGAAGATTGGCCCAACGTTTTGATCAATAGAAGAGGAAGTTCACGAAAGGGTTGGCCGGGGGACATTCTCTGTCATTACAGCCTCTTGTTTGGGCCTCCTTATTTGAA